ACTTTCACCCCAACACACACATACACACAGATACATCATGAAAAAGAGCTTGCAAATTGCAAGCAGGGCAAGCTTAGAACACACACACAGGCCCAGTCACACCTCAAATGACCTTGGGCAGACTCTATCTTCCCCATTTATAAAATAATGATAATAAAACTTATCTTACAGGCTTCCTCTGAAGATTAAATTAGATAAGTAATGTCAAGGGGCTAGCTCAGAGTAGATTCTCAAAAGTTAGTTCTCTCTTCTCCCCACTTCTCCCTGAGATGAGCCAATTTGCCTGCTCAGTGTTACAAACTCTTCTGACATGCCAAGCAGACAATCATCATTATGTTGTCTCAGTCAGAAGCAACAAGTATCTGGGAGCAAAATATTATAAGAAAAATGGGGAATACCAAATGAGTGGTGAGTATTCTAGCTGCTAATACATATCTGCTAAGTCATTTCTACTGAAAATCATGAGTTAAAATTGCTGGATTAACCTTTGGAGGGCTGAAGCTGAGAAGGTGATACAGTTATGCTTTCATGTGGAAATTGGCTATATAATGCCGTGCTGTAGCCAGGAAGTACGTTTCCTGTGCACCTTATTTTAAACCATTGTGGCGATTTGCATCAGACCTAAATAATACCCACACTGCTCTAGAGCAGACAGTGGCTGCTGCTGGAGCGCACTTCCCTTAGACCAACTCTGCTTCACTGCTTATAAACCAAAACATAAAACCCTGATGAAAAAAGAAACTTAAAAACTAAATTAAGATTTCAGCACTTCATTGTTAATGAAAGTCTCCTTTCGACAACCTTCTAGGTTAAAGGAGAGAGAGAGAGAAAGAGAGAGAGAGAATTCAGTATTTACTGCAAAATTTCTTTGGTGAAACGTTTTAAAAGTTTGCAATAGCTTTGAATGCCCTACACTAAAGCTAAAGGAGTTAGATGGAAACTTCTAGCAGCTTTCCATCATGTTTGTCAGAAATTGTAGCATCTTTTCCCCTAGTTCATCAGAATAAAAGTGTCAAATTGCCTACTTAGGTGAGAGCTGAAACTCTTCTCATTGAAAGTAAGATTTTACCATTCAGATCAAACTCCCAATAAACAGTGCCTGCCTGGTTGTTAAAATGCTAGACTCAGTCATACAACCTTCAGGAGGATAAATTGGAGGCTGAGCTCAGCATTTCCTGAATGTTAAATGATGTGCCAGGCACTGCAGGAGACCTGGAGATAGAGAAATGAATACGGCACACCACTTGCCTTTGAAAGAATTGAAGGCCTAATGGGCAAGGAAGTTACATAAAGATATAACTTGAGCTTACTATTGTTAACCATTGTTACAGGTAAAAGAGAGGCCTATCTTCAGAAGAGGATATTAGCTCCACCTGAGGCATTCAGAGCAGGTTTCCTTAAGAAGATAACACTAGAGTTAAGTCTTAAAAGATGAGTGAAAATTATCCAGGTAGCAGGTGTTCCAGACAGCACCGTGAACAAAGGCACAGGTACCGAAACTGCTCACAGCACCTGTATACAAGGTGATGAGCATGGACTGAGAAACTGTAACTCTTGGAGAGATGTGGAGCTGCAGAATCAGATGGGAGCCATGTCACTGAGGACCTTGTTAGGCCAGATTCAGGCAAAAATAATAATGGAAGCTGATATTTACTGAGCATTTACTATGTGGCAGGCACTACGTTAAGCACTTTAGAGTATTTTTTTATTTAATCTTCACCAGAACTCCAGAATCCCCATATTACAAATGAGGGTACTGAAGGCTACAGAAGGAAAATCACTGGAACAGGCAACAAGGCCAGTAAATGGGAGGTGGGTTTGACAACCAGCATGGCCTGATTCCAAAACTCCTACTCTATACTCTTCTATCACCAAGCCTATCCTCAAAAGAAAGACTGGATGGATACATTGTGTCCATGATACTGGCTACAGAATGGAGAGTGGAGGTGGCCCAACTGCAGGCCTGTAACAAGGCAGGTATAGAAAAGAATAGGTCAATGAAAAATACGTGTTCGGAGGGACTGAAAGGAAACATTCTACTTGCACGCCCTCCGAGTGCATTCAACAGTAAAATGAACTTTTGACAAAGGGGTCTAGAAAATAAACTACCATGTACGATGATGCTCCCACGTACAGTGGGTTAAAATATGAATGTTCTCCTTGCCTTCGACACGCTCCCAAATGCTAAACTCAGTGAGGGCAAAGACCGCGTCTGTCTTATTCATTTGGGATAGTGTCTCCAGTCTGAGCCTCCTGCCTGGAGCAAGGAGACACTATAAATACTGTTGAGAAGGAAGAATGAGTAATGGCCACTTTTTATAATGGCACCAAGGAAGTGTCATTCTTAATTGGAAAAATTGGGTTAAAAAATAAAGGAAAAATTTGAAAGTTGTGTTGATAACTGAGGATTGGTAAACTGAGGTGAAAAACATGTAGCAGCTATGTCAACCACACAGACAATGATGAGGACTCATCACTATGGGGTCCCATCTTGGAAAAAAAGGTGAATCCAAAATGTGATGAGTTTTGTGTAAACCATAACTCATTAAAAATATGTTATTAAAGGAAGTGGCCTAGAGGTGAAAATGTGCTTTCTGGGAACAAAAGTGAATAGACCAAAGATCAAACTCTGGGCCTACTCATTTCTAGTTTCTGACCCTGACAAAATAAGCATATCCTTAACATGATTTTAGGGAAGAAGCTTATATCACTTTTACCAACATTTAGTTATCAACAAGAATCTTTGTTAGGTATTCAAAAAGTTAAGTCACATGTTTCAGCTCTGAAGACTTTTCAGACATTTAAAGTTTTCTTCAAAAGAATAATTACTTAATTCTGAGCATTTAGAAACAATGATTCTAATTCAGAAACAAAAAATTTTTAAAGTGTATTTCTTAGTGAAGTTCTTACACTGAAATATTTTGCCACTTGTCAATCTACTAAACAGAAGATTTTGGTTTTTTTGTTTTGTTTTTTGGTGACCTACTAGGAGGCTGTAAATAATATCATTTCCTCATATCTTATGCATTAAAATATTTTGAAATATGTTTTGACAGTCTACCAATTATGTTAGAAAAATCCTGAAACCATTTACTCACATAGAAAATTAAAATGCAATCATGGAATTAGGTTTCTTGTCTTCATTTCATTATAGTTACTTTCGACCTTCAACTATCTTCGAAAATTTATTTCGAATACATACATGCTCAAAATGATTCCTTAGTTCAACCATTTTGAAACTTTCATTCCATAAAAGTATGAAATCTGTGGGTTTTGTAAACCTTTAAAAGGCCAAATAAAAAGCCACTAGGCCTTTAATTGTGTAAAAGTGTGTATGTAGATGAAATGAAACGGACTCATGAACTATTGAGTCTGGAATTTGCAAATCATAAATCTTATCCTTGTAAACAAAACCTAACAAAATCAGAGCCCACAAATTTCCTTCTTTCGTAATGTGAAACAAAAGTTTTAATGATTTTTAATGTACATAGAAAATTAAGGGTGCATTTAAAACATTTATTAGCAAAATATAACTGAGTTTTTAAGAGTCTGGGGTATAATCAGAGACAGTTGGACATTCTGGTACTGCAATGTAGCAAAACATTCAAGAATAAAACACTGGGATTTTATTAAACCATAGAACTCAAATTTGCGTTAGGATTTTTTTTTTATTACAATAGTGCTTCCTCGTCATTCCATTAAAAACTTCCATCTCCATGCGACCTTCAATATGAAACATAATTTTTTAAAGAAGTTCTCAACCACTTCAAATACTCTGGAATGTACCATTTAGAACCTGGAGCATATTTCTTCTAGACACACTTAAGGGTAAGGCTGCCTGAGGCCCTTGGTAAATCAAACATGTGCGTCAGAGTGATGCGTTTCATCTTAGATCTACGCATCTCCAAGGGCATCTCCAAGTCACCAAAGGAGCATAACATATTAAAGATGAAGGGCATGTAAACTTATTCAAAATGTAACCATGTCATTTTACAGATGAGGAAACCGAGGTCTCGAAAGCTCCAAATACTCACTTACCCAGGGTACAGCTGCAAATACTCAGTTATGTGGATCATAGCTGCGAAAATTCTAACTTTTAAAGTCTCAGGGGTTTGGTACTTTCCATAACATATCTTTAAGAACTCAGTTCGTGCATTTCCACCGCACCCCCCCTCCCTACACACCCCCACAAACACCTCTGGAGATAGAGAGATCAGGTGGGGAGCAGATTTATGATTTTAACCCTTCCATTTCCACCAAACGATAATTGCAGAGGACCATCAACTCCCAGAAGGCAGGATTGTCTTGCTCCAGGAAACACGTCCAGCATGCAGCCCCCAGCAGATACTTAGTAAACAATCCTCCGCCTCCACCTGACAATTCCCGCTCCCTAGTCCATCCGGGCCAAGCCTTCAGTGCAGTCAGATAACTTTCCTTTGGAAATCACTTCTTTTCTTTAAAGTTTTATCCAGTAACTCTGGGCCAAGAAGCCGGCCTGAGCGAATGCGTAGCCCCTTATCAGGAGCTAAGGTTGGAGTAACTGACCACTTAAGGGGGTGGCTCGGCAAGTCCCGGGTGGGCACGCAGCATCGCCACCGGCCGCGGTGGCCCCAGGTGTGCCCGCTGCTTTGGCAGCCTCGGCGGCTGCCGCTCCGGGCCGCTGTTCCCCTGCCTCCTTCAGATAACCAACTTCTCAAACTTCCCTTTCCGGGGGTGGGGGCGCGCCTCGAACGCGGCCAACACACAACGCCTTTCCTGCCCGCACAAAGCGGGCCAAACGCGCCTTGCGCCCCTTGCCACTTTAACTTTCCTTCTCTTTTGGAAGAAAAACTCGCACATCCCCGTGGCTAAGGGAGCAGCGCTGCGTGGGTGCCCGAGGGGAAACTTTCCCGTTTCCGCCCGGGCGCTGCGTTCCTGGGGCCGCCTGTCAAGCGCAGCGAAGGGGCTGGGAGCCCCGGGGACCCCAGGCGCCTCGCCAAGCCCAGCTGGGGGCCACTCACCCGACTTCTGAACGTGTGGCGGGATCGTGCTGGCGATGCGCGTCCAGAGGACGATGTGCAGCGGCCACAGGCCCCTGAGCAGCCCCCGACCCATGGCAGACCCCGATGCTCGTCATAGACCGAGCCCAGAGCGCAGCAGCCGGCGCCTTCCCAGACCCCTGGCTGCACCTCCACGTCGCGCCCTCTCGGGACCCCGCGCCCAGCCGGCCAGGCAGATGTGCGGGCCAGATGTGGCGCCGGCTCGGCAGCAAAGAGGGGGCTTGGAGGCCGGCGAGGCGCGGGGAGGCCCCCGGCGGCCGAGGGGAGCTGCGCAGGAGGCCGGCTCCTGCCCCGGGCGTGTGCGCGCGCGGGGTTGTCGTCGGTCCGGGCGCGCGAGTGACTCACTCAACTTCACCCGGCGCTGCGGGGGGAAACAGGAAACTCCTCGCCAACAGCTGGGCAGGACCTCTCACCGCCTGAGAGCCTTCTCCCTCTCCTCGCTTCCAGCCCTCGCTCTCTCGCGTAGCTGCCAATCATGTCTCCTAGACCAGCCCCTCCGAGGACTTTGGCAAACTTTCAGCTGCCCCTCTCCGCCCTCCGTTCCTTGCTCCCAGTATTTACTCCAGAGTAAGTGCACACGTTTCGTAAAGCAACCGAACGTAGAAAGTGCATATACTTTCCAAAGCACCTCGACGAAGCACCTTTCCCCTCCCCCCAACCTTCTTTGGCTTGTTCTAGGTGCTTTAAAAGCTGTGTTTTTTAACTACAATTCTCAACCCAGGGAGTGGATGCTAAAATGGAATGAGTCTTTTTTTTTTTTTCTAATAAAAAAAGCAAGTAAGTATTGCCTCATTAAACTTTCGTTTCACTTATGTATACATACACCGTTACATCGTAAAATGTTTTTCTTACTATAGGTGGAAGTCTTGAAGTTTTTTCCTCAAATAATGTGCATATTGATCACCTGAGAATCTTCCTAAAAAATACAGATTCTTATTCAGTACCTCGAGAATGTGGGTTTTCTTTTGAGCTCTTGAGTGGTGGCTCCTATTTTGAACTGCCTTTTCCTGGGACTGATTCAGTGAGGGATTGTAAATGATCAGCCATCACAGAGTGACGATGATGGGAAATGTTCTCTTCAGAATGGATCATGTATTGCAGAAAATGTAAAAATAAAAGTGATCTGAAAGTTAGCTGGATGCCAGGGTTTGCATTCCAATAGTGCCAGTGAGGAGAGAGAATGCATAGCTTCTCCTTTGCAAAAGGGAAAATTGAGCTGGACAAGATAAACTTTCAACTTTCCCTTCTTGCTAGGGTGACCGGATTTGCCCCACGCCATCCTGGTGTACATCTGTTTTGACCTTAATCATTACCCAACCAAGACACATTCTCTTTTCCATGTGTCTTGCTTGGATAATGATGTGCTTACCCTACTTCTAGCTCTGAGACTTAGATTTTGTATAGCTCTCTGGTCAGGTGATCTTCCAGCAGGTTAAATAAGGAACTCCTTTATCTGAGACAAAGATTGTTTGCAGGGAGGCAGATGGCCAGGCTTACTGGAAATACATGAAGGCAAATAGCCCTTCCATAAACCCCAGCTCTTGAAATCTTCACTGTCAATCTAGGATTTCATTTGCTTGATCCTGGCACCGTAAGTCTTGTCACTATTGTTCCTCGCATCACTGAAGCTGACTCTGAATGTGTCTTTTAGGAAAATACCACTTCCCAGCTCTTATGTTTAGGATGCAAGAAAGGCAGTGAATTTAGGAGGGCCGAGCATCTTCTTGCCTACCAACAGCTTAGGCAAAGCCAGAGTCACTTTAAGATGGAGAAAATTTGCTTTCACAATTTGCTCCTCCCCATTTCCCCCAAGGCAGCAGTGAGCAGGAGTCTCCCAGCCACTCACCTTCAGTCAGGGCCCTTGTGAGCCCTTTTACTCAGTTTCTCAAACCAGAGCTGAAGTCAGTTTTTCAAAATGCATATATGATCATACCGGCCTCCTGATTAAAATTATTTAATGGCTTCTTACTCCTCTTAAGAAAGAGGATAGAAAGCAGAACTTTTAGCCTGCCTTCAAAGCCTCCTCCCCCTCCTCTCCTCCTGAGGTCCTGCTCTAAATTCCTAGAACGTTCCCCTACGTTCTTCCCACACAGGAGGACGAGTCCTCCCCAATGCACTCGTCCCTTCCTCTGACCCTATTTTTCTCTCCACCCAGGCATCTCTAATCTTCTTTAGGTGAATCTGAACTTCTGTAATGGACAAGCTTTCCCTGACCTCCCCGAGAAGATCTTCTATTATACGTTCTCTTGGCACCATATGCCTCTCTTTCTTAACACTTACTACAGCTATAGTTTTTACCATTCTTTAGCTTCTATTCCTCTCTTTCACTCAAGTCCAAATTCTTTGGGGACAAAGATCATATTTTCCCCTTTACTCACTATTGTATCCCCAGCACCTACAACATAATAGGTGTTTAATAAATATTTTTTGGATGAATGAGTGAATGAGGTAATATTCACAAGGAAATTATACTTAATCATCCTAGTTACTTCATAACTTTGAAGAAGGCACCGTATTACCTAATAAATTGAGATAAACAAGCTAGATTTTAGGTGAGGGTGATGTCATTACTACTTCCTTTCTTAAAATGGAGAAGTGTGTGTTTCCTTTTTTTTTTTTTAATTTGCCCAAGTTCCTCTGGACAGCATACATATGTTTCCTTTCTCTCCAAAACACATTGAGGCAAATAAATGCCCAATTGATTTTAAAGACTTTCTCTTTCATATTTATTGCAAAGACAGATGTTTTTTCATTGTTAGAGGCCAGGTCTGAGGTATTTGAGTCCATGGTGGAATATTTAACTGATGACTTTTGTCATCATGTATCGCTAGTGTGGATTTAAATTTTGTTTGCCTTTAACATTTCTGATTTAATCCTCAATCTCCTGTGAAAATGAGCCTGAATTCATCATCGCCAAGTGCAAACTCTTAGAAACCATCACAATGAAATCATGTAAACTCACACATATTGTAACTTGACAATCTTAAAAATTGGTCAATATACCCTTCCTTTTGGGATTCTTGTTGAAAGAGAAGTTTGATATCTTCAATTTAGACATTGTTTGCACACATAGTTGTATATTGATATAATATAATTTTCTGTGTATTCACATAGGCATTTAATATGCATATGCAAAAATTGGGCCATTTGCAAATAGAAACAAAAAATAAAAACTCAACTCAACACTTAAAAAACAGGGAAGGTAATGTTTAAGCCCTATCAAGGTGACAATAAAAACCACCTTGAACCAAGTTAAACAGCTTGAATATTTTCTTTTCTTTTTTTCAGTTTTACAAACTCTGAACACACAAAAAACAATTGGACCGAATCGAAACGTAGTTAATTTCAGCCCTGTGTTTCCCGCTTGTGATGAGGCAAGAACTTTGTACTCCCCTGAACTTTTTGACATACAGCTGCTGAGGTTACTGGAGACTAACGCAGTTGACAGGGAGATTCTTCTCCGTGTAAATTAATCATTCTGTATTCTCAACTCTTATCTCTTGCCCAATTTTCCTTCTATTGTGAAGCAGTCCAGTAAGCACTGAGACAATATGAATTTGTGAGGGTCACCCACCCTTTTAAGGTCGTCTGTGATGCTAGGTGGCCAGGAAAACTTTTGATTCCTTCAGGCTAATACGATCTCTCCTCTTCCAGGGAGAACCCAAGGAACATTAAGTTTATTTAACTTATTTATTTATTTATTTATTTAGTCTCATGCTGACATGAAGTGCATTATTGTTATGCATTTCTGTTTACCACACCAATCGAAAACTCCTTGAAAACAGATTATTTCTTTTTCAACTTCAGACCTTACTCTGCACCCTACCATATTCAATGTATGTTTCTTGTCTTCAACAGAGGGAAAAATGAGAATATCTATTTCCCTAATTCATTCCCTTGTTTGCAATTCTTCACAGATATTAATAGAAACTACAATTATGCCACATGTTTATAGAAAGGATGAATAGGTTCTTTTGGCGAAAAAGATAACTTCCTTTTAAATTACAAAAGATATACATATATGTGTATATATGTAAATGTGTGTGTATTTATATGTATATAATCTTATAGGTAGAAAAAAAAGTCTGAAATACAGATAAGCCAAAGGTAGAAAATAAGGATCCCTAACCTTATCCCCAAAGATAATCATTGTCAACATTTTGGAGCATGTCCTTAAAGTCCTAGTCTAATCTTTACAGCTGAAGAAATTGAGGATTAGAGAGAGATTACGTATTTAAGCATATGGCAGAGGTCACATACCTGGTAAGGGTTAGAACTCAGGTGTGAACTAAGGCCAGTCTAGTGCCAGAGTCGTTATTGGCAGCTCTAGCAAACTAATACACCCCATCCCCTGCCTGCTTGTTCAGCTGTTTCTTTTCGATGTCTTTACAGGTTTGTTTTCTTCCCTTCATTATTTAAATTCTGTCCTCTGCTCTTCTCTCACTCTTTCTAGGGAACACAGCTATTTCTACAGCTTCCCTGATACTTGATGATTTCCAAATATAATTGTCAAGCTCTAATTTCTCACCTAAGCTACAATTATTCTAATTGCCTATGCTACTCTCTTTGTAGATACCCCATTGACATCACACACGCATCACTCCAAAAAGGGACTCTAAAATGTATGTCCACTTCGCACGGTTCCTATGTCAAGTAAAAGCTCTATCTCCAATGGATGACCTAAGCCACAAACATAAAAATCAGGTAAAAGTTTGCCTCTATTTTACTCCCCAGAATGTAATTGAGGTCTATCTACATGCTTCCTGAAGATCTCTTGAATCAGTTCTATTCTCATTTCACCACTGACATTATTTTAATCCTATTTCTTATTTCATGTGAGACTGACATTATTTTAATTCTATTTCTTATTTCATGTGGGATTATTTAAATTTTCTTGTCTTTTTGTCTCTCTAGTCTCATCCTATTCTACTGTATCCTCCACTGTTACCAAAATGTTCCCCTCCAAACGTATGAGAATAATCATGTTTAAAATTATCCAATTGCTTCCCACTGCCTTCAGGATCAAATTGCAACTGATCATCCATTTATTCATTCAACCAGCATGACCAAATTACAATGGTAAGCAACGAAGGCATAAGGACTCAAAAACAGTAATCCTAGCCTTAACTGAAGGGCACTAAGCTCTTCTTATGATCTAATGTGAAACATAGATAAGTAAACAAATAATATTAATAAATATGATAGTATGATTGTCACAATGGTGATAAGCTCAGGGTACCACAGGAGCCAGCATTAGAGGCCACTCACTAATCCAATCTGAGAGTAAGAGAAGGCCTGAGGGAAGATATGCTTTTTGAACTGAATCCTTAAGAATGGTCAGGTAAAGCCATGGGGAGGATGTTACAGATACACAGATCAGCAGTGTAA